GGGACACCCCGCCTCACGGGACACCCCACCTCAAGGGACACCCCGCCTCAAGGGACACCCCGCCTCAAGGGACACCCCGCCTCAAGGGACACCCTGCCTCAAGGGACACCCCGTCTCACGGGACACCCTGCCTCACGGGACACCCCACCTTAAAGGACACCCTGCCTTACGGGACACCCTGCCTCACGGGACACAGGCCCCTCCAGCTCTGCACATCCCCCACGGCCTTCCCCAGAGGTCGCTGGACCATGGGTCACATCCATGACACAATATGTCACATTAGATGGTTGGTACTGACCCAAACTGAGGCTTCTGGCGATCACCCAGCAAAATTCTGAGGATGCCACGGCAACTGTCGCATTTCTCAGAGTGTCTACAGTAACCAGAACCATTTGGGTTGACTGACTCCCATGCATTAGACAGATGGCCATTCCCGGGGTCCTCACCAGTGAACACCGGCGATCCCATCGGGGGACCAATTTCATTACTGCTCCTTGAAGCTCTGATTTCAGGTCCACTTTCATCTTCCAGACAGCCCACAATAAAACCATAATAATTTGGGCTTATTGCCTTTAGCTTTCAAAGGTCTGAGCATTAAGTCTGCCACGGGCACGTCTATTGCATTACTATCACGCTTTAATCAAATGTCGCTTGACTTTTTAAGAATTATTTCATTCATCCACAGCGAGCGCCGAGGTTCCATCTACTGCTTCCTGCTCTTTGAAAGCCTCCTGATGCATGCAGGGTAGCCAGGCATAAAGGGCACTGTGCTTAAAATCATCTCCATCTACCACATCACCTGAAAATAGGACAACGAAACATATCATCATGTCTAAGTCACGTTCTCATGTTTTTTATCTTCGATAGAGGTTTTCTTGAAGCAGATGAGCACGTCCACCCAGCAACGTGAATGTAATTCCAGTCTGCCCCAGCTTACTGATACGTCACTGATGAATGACATCAGTCGGGGGGGGGGGGGAGCAATGGAAAGAAAAACATGGCCAATAAGCACAATCCGGGAAGCAGGTGGAAAAGTATTTCACTACACAGTAGTACATCGTATGATTGGGTGAAATAAAACCTGAAACATGTGGAAGCTTCTGTTATGTGTATGGCCTGGAGGGGGGCTGCGGGGGCCTAGAGTGGAGCGGCAGGCCTTCCACTAGCTGGCCCCCTACCTGGAGGCCAGGCCTGACCCAGATGCAGAACGTCTCTTCTAGGGCAAGCGCTCCCCTGCTGTCAGAGAAGCACACACAGTCTCTGAGGGCAAACAACCCCCCCCCACACACAACTTCTCATTGCCATCTCCTGGGGGCCAAATTACTGTGACCTGACAGGGTGGTTCGGGGGGGGGTGAGCTGCCGATCCCCCATCAGAAGGGGGGGAAATCAGGATTTGGGGCCCTCAGTGCCGGGAATGACATCTGCAGCTGGAGGGCCAAAACAAATGGGAGCTAATTAAACACTTGTTGCATATGGCAATGCTACCTCACACACACGCGCGCGCAGATAATACACAGAACCCCCCACCAGAGCGTGAGACCAGCATGCGCGAGGCACTGAGGCAGTTTCCGTGGCAACTGCAGGGGCAGGCACACACGCTGTGGCCAGCTAGCCGGAGTAAATGCGAGAAATCCCCGCCAATCTGCCCAGATTTTCTGCTTCTGAGGACCTAAGAAATGCACTCGCACTACGCAAGTCTCGTGGGCAGCGAACCTGATGCGCAGTGCAGTGAGGAGGCCCCCTGAACACGGCAGGCGAACCAACACCGGACTCATACCGGCTTTATCATGTAAACAAGCATTTACAACATAAAATGACAATTAATGTGACTAAAACAGAGGATAAAGAGTGACAATGGCGGGAGGAACGATGGCACGATGGCCGCCATCTTGGTTCAGTCTAATTGGTTTCGACATCACACCTGTATTTTTTTTGTGTTTCGGTTGGAGCATAAGGAATAAGAATTGCAACTGAAAAACATTATTTTGCTGATATCCGGATTGGAAAATTCACTGTCGCACCACTGTGGTTGGATGGGACACGAGAGCCATTTTCAGGAGATTGCAGCCATTATTGGCTTAATGAGGTCTGATGATCCTACAACCATCATCTTCATCATGACTAATGCAAGGAATTAGATCAGATGAGACACTCGATCTCCCGCGTCCCTGCTTCTTGTCCCGTGCAAGCGGCTCCAGGTTCTCCGCTGTGCTCTGCTCACCCACCTGCTGCCTGCTTTGAAAAACGCCCCCCAACGCTTTTCTTGGAAACCCTGATGCGACGGAACATTTTATTGCATTAAAGGCATTCAGCGTTCAGCACCTCCCCCTCCCACAACATCCCCACCTACCCGGTGTAAATAAATAAATAGATGAACAAACAAATAAAAATAAATCTCATTACTACCCAAGCAATGGGTAATTAGAAATGTCGGCAGTTACCGTTCGTCTGAGGGTGTGGCCTGACTGGAACTGTGTCTAAATGCTAATCTGTGGACCGTCATCCGGGCTGAACCACGGGAGAGGAGGAGGGTGAGAGGTGCCAGCTATGGTGCCGATGGCACCGATTGCACCCTACGATCCAGCCCGTACCCATGGCCTGCTAATTTCGCCAGACTGCCTGAACATTAAGGACTGAACGGTTTCAGAGCCGCAGTCTCCGCAGTTACGTAGCAGGATCACAATGCAACTTGGGGTTTTCCAGGAGATCCCATGGCAAATGGCCAATGCAGTAATCAAAACTGGGGGGGGGATCAATTTATCACTGGTAAGTTTTCTGTGGTGTTGCTTCATTAAGAGGAGACAACGGCACTGTTTCAGTTTGAGATCGCCTTATTGCTATGGCGACAGAGCACAGCAGCAGGGGAGGGGGTGGGGGCTCGATTTTCAACCCAATATTAAACATGACAGCTAGTTTCCTTGGGCAGTGAAACAAAATTTAATGGGGGGGGGGGTGCAGGTAAAGAACAGGAACCAAAGGACATACAGATCGATTAAATAGGCATGTTTGCCAGCTATAATCAACACCCCCCAATCGGTACCTGGGGGTTCAACCACTGAGAGACAGGAGGGGGTGTGTAAAAAAAACAGAGATTAAGCAGACACATACTACTGGGCTCCCCTGTTGGATACAATCAGAGTAAGAGCTGTCAGCCCCCCCCCCCCGACGCAGCGCTGACCTGGATCAGGCTGACGATGGGAAAACCTCACCTTCTCGCTGTCCTCTAAGACAGCGTTTCTCACCTTGGTTCCCAGGGACCCCTAGACAATCCACATCTTTGCTCCCTCCCAGCTCCCTGCCGGTTCAAGTGACTGGGCTTGACCGTGTGGAAAAACAGAGGAACCCCCCCCCGCACGGCTTCGTTTACGTCTGATGTCCAATCAGATGTCGCTCAGCGCTTCCGGCGACACGCCAATTACGGAGACAGACACACTCGCAGCTCTGACCTTTGCGCCGGAGGACCGGCCTCATCCATCCTGCACACACCACTGCAGCTCTGCAGTCACGGTCACCTCGGCGCCGGAGGGGCGCCATCCCGCCGCCCATAATGACGGAAAGTTCCGTATCTTTGCCCAGCTGTAATGAGAAGTTGGAGCTTCTCACGGGATTTCAAGGCTTCTGTAAAGATAATGAGGGCTGTTTGCTCCACCTGAGCACCTTCGTAAAGTCACACACACTCCCAGACTGATGTTTTACTCAGCAAACATCCTTATCTTGCTTACATTCACTCGTATTGTAATGGCCGCCCATTCCTTTTCAGACCCGAAATTAATTACCAGACTCCAAGCTGTCAGAAGCACCTGTATGACCATTAAGGTCTGGAAATAAGCAGATATACACAGCTAATCACACAAAACTGCGTAAATCAGGAGACCAATGGGTCAACATAAGACATCTCTCGCTGTTTCAGATACGATCCGAATTCCACATGATGAAGTATGATCCTTCAAATGATATATATAGTTATAGTTATAAAAACCCTATGAGATGAGGTACCGCAGATCTGCTTTAAGTCCTTCATTGTTTTCTTGAGGTGATTAATAGGTTCACGTGATACTCCAGGTGAATATTAAACACTAACAGTAAGGAATTGGGGTGGAACAATACACAAAATTCACTGCAAGGTACAGAACTCAGTTTTAAGTTCACAGTTCGGTGCAATTTTGATACAGCAGGAAAAATGAAATGCTTTTAAAATGTTGATTATTAAAACCTTAAACATAATTAGAAACATTTGTAAACCAAACAAAAGGCAATGTGTCGTTCGATGTGTTTTAATGACAAGAGACACTTATTTAGACATTGTAAAATAAATATGTAAAATGAATAAAAATGTAAAAGATAAAACTGCATCATAACAATCATAATGAACTAAATCCAGTCTAGATCCCATGTTCTCTCAAACTGAGAATGGTCGCATATCTGTAGCGATAAACACCTCTATAGCCATAGTTATTTGATTTTTTCTGAATGACTCGACAAAAGTGCCTCAGATACCAAGGCGAGACTGACTCACAGAGGCTGTTCCTGCCTTGCCCCAGCTCTTCCTGCCTCGCCCCAGTTGTATACGGGTCGGTGACAAATGAGGGCTGGCAGGATGAGCAATTCAGGAAATTTATAAAAACTTGTTTTAAAAGGATGCATCGGGTTTGAAAATGTACACTTTGTATTTATGACCTCAGGCATGATTCCCGTTAAGAAAAACATCAAGAAACAACGAATCAGCTCCTCTTCCGCTGCCCAGCATTGATCTCTGTACCTGAAAGGCTGAGCTTTGGCAGTTAAACGGAATCAAACGTGTTCTGTGTTACACTGTAGGGTGTGTGGCATGTTTTTCAAATGATACATTATGTAAAAGCAGCTTCATACTGTCAAATCACATTGGAGCACATGATCATTTACAGAATTATTTTATTGGTGGGTCAAATTCCGACTTCTCATTGATGAAAGTGGACCGCTGCCATACCTGGAAATCAGTTACTGGGAGCTGCACCAGTCCCAGCATAAAGAATGAGTATCAATAGAACGCTGTGTATACTTTATCACGGGCCCTGCTTTTGTGGGAGGGCGCTTTTGGGGGCAGGGGGGGGGAAACGTGCAGGCCAGGCTACTGGAACTGTCCTTCAGAGTAGCAAGCTGAGGGATCAGAGCGCAACCCGCCCGCATTCCCAGCCGCTTCTGCCCAGGAAGCAGCTCCAAATGAGCTGTCAGCTTTGTTTACGGCTCTCGGCGACAGCGCAGCTGCGCAGGCAAATCGCAGCTGACTGCGATCGCATTTCCATGGCTGCAGGCCACTTGTGACATCTACCCCCCCCCCCGAGAGATGGTGACATTTGTTGAACACTCTGATTAAGTGGACGCCCTGCTGTGAAAACGTATCATGCAACGTTCAGTCGTGTTTATTGAGGGGGTGGGGCAATGTTGACCTTCCCTCATGGTGCAAGAGAAAGTGGCCGCAATGTACAAGGGTTGATAAAGGACATTAATGCAGGACCTCATTAGAGACAGACACTTGGTCTACTGCGCCCCCCCATGAAGACACTGCTGGCCCGATGCCCCCCTCCCAAGCCAATGCAATGATGCTGATGTCACTCCAGGTGCTTATTCAGAGCACTGGGGGGCATTACGGTTACATCAGGACGTCAGAATACTAATAAACACAAAAACAGAAATGTCTGCTTACTGTACCATTAACTCTTTTTTATTAAAACATCTATCTGTTTACTATAGTACCAAAACTAATATTATATGAATAAAGTTCCTAAATGAGTCATTCTGGAATTGTATCCTCTGTGATTTGGGCTGATAAGATTTTAGAGTAAAAAGAACATCCCAGGTAATCTATTAGCTAATGTGGCACTACAAGTAGGTTTACTGGATATTCAGCTGAGGAAAACCAATAAGGAAAAATACAAAGAGCAACGGGGGAAAAAAGAGCACATGGGAAATGGGGAGGGGGGCAGCTAAAGGAAGAGGCACAGAGGTGTGCAAGACTTAGTGTCATCCTGGGAAACACAACAACTACACGAAATGGGAGCCGATGGTCTGGGGATGCTGAGCATAGTGGGACTGGGGGGGGGGATAGGGGATGTTTGTGGGGTGACAGGACCCTTGGCAGAAGCACAGATCAGTCTCCTGTGATGTGGAACATCCCAAAGGGGGAGACCCCCCCCCCCCAGTGTACAGGACAGCCAATGATGGGGATTCTTCCCTCTGCCTGGATGTTTTCTGACACACTTCTCTGACAATGACTGGTCAGAGACAAAGTCTTTGGTAATGAGGGTGTCTAAAGACGTCTCAGATACTATCTGCTCCTGCTAGGGGCTTCAATACAATAAAAACAATTAAAACATTTTTAGTTTGATAAACCTTATAGCTGGACTTTTTTTTTTGGAATATTCATCTTTAACTGTCACCATTTAAAACTTAATTATCTAACATGTTCGTCAACACTTTACGGAATTAAATACGATACGACCATGCCGTACCATGTTATGTTTAAAGCAATGGTGACTAAAACTTGCTACTGTACACTGAGGTCAAAATAGCATTTTTTAATAATGAGCGTTGCAAGCTCTGTCAGGCTGGACCTACAGCTGACAGGGAAGAGAACCTTCCACAGATCCTGTGGCAATTTACACACAGAGTGAACAACGTGTCAGAATAACATTGCTCTTCCCCTCCCTAAAGAGAGACCACCTCCTGTTTAATTTCAAATTAAACTGCTTGCAAAACAAGAGAAAACTCACTGGCTGATAGTGTTTTTGCGCTTTTTCTTTTCAAAGATTGAGCACACCAGACTTCCCTCAACAGGTGCACGGCTGTCTGCAGGCACTCTGTCAGTCCTCGGTAGCGGGGCTGGCTGTACGGTTAGCACTTCCGTGGACTGCAGCTGAGGCACGAGTGGGTTGCAAAAACTGACAGGGAAGCCGGTAATTTTCTTGCCGATTACATATTCAGACCTAGAGAGCTGCCAGTTATTTCCGATAACAGCAATGCAGCAGAAAAGAAGGAAACCAAAATAATTAACATTCCGCTCGGGCAATTAAAGAATGACAAGCGGATATCGAAAATGCATGGACGGATGGACGGATGGAACTGAAAGCCACTGGCAGATGTTGTACAGCCCTCTTAGCGCTAATAACTATTTATTATTTTAAGAAATTGTATTTTCAAAATAAGACAACGACACAAATAGTTTCTGATGCTGAAACCCAAATATAAAATCGGATTTTTAAAAACTCACAGGCAGCTAAAGAAAATGCTAAAGAATTTTACACAAGTATTTCACACTGCAGACCTGTATGAGTACCATACCATATTAGATGTTCTGTGCACGTTTAGTTCAATGCACATTGATGGTCAATATACTGTTTTGTATTACCAACACTGTTCAGTCTTTCAAGAAACATTGCTATTGGGTGTAAATGTAACGTGTGGCGTTTACTAAAAAAGACAGGAATAAAAAATACTTTCGCAGCATATGAAAGTAATACTAAAACCAACGGATCACTGCTTTAGAAAGCAAGATCTGACTGTCAGAAAATAAAGAAACTTAACTAAGGAACAATTCTGTTGTTGCTAATATCACCAAAACAGTACCTACTTACGTAAAGCAACAACCTTAGAACCGATTACTACTCTACCGCTCAATATTTTCGTGTTCTTCCACTCATGTAATGCTCCGCAACGATCTGCCAAATCCGATCACTGTGGGCTGCTTCACCGCACTAACCTGAGATGCCACCCCCGATGACAATCACGTCGTATTTGTTGGCTGTCATGGTGCTCAGCTTATGCTCCTGCGTGTTCCCACACAACCTCAGCCCTGCGGGTCGCCTGCAAGCTCGCCAGTCCGCTGGGGAGGAAGGATCGAGCGCATCTGTTATAAGAGAGCAGCGACACGCCCACTGTTCGAGCCCCACCCTCCGGCTCCAAGTCACCAATCGGCGCGACCATGAAACTTTGGCCTCAGCCATATATGTCCAGGTAAATAGCCGTCGGACCCCGTTCTGTCTCGAACGAAATAAAATCGAGCGGTTACATAACGCCCTTTGCACTGTATTAATTCATCAGGTCATTATGTTATTATTTGTAACATTGTGGTTTTCTCCTGTTTCGGCGTAATGTGGGAGTTGAACTAAACGGTTTGGCATTCATAATGAAAATACTGTAGTGAATCTGCACCGCGCTTTGGTAATAATGACTCGGGTCTTAACTGTGCTCGTTTGATGGGATACCGTCTGACTTACTAGGAGTTCGTACAGCCAAAACAAGCCGCCACTGGCCCAACAACAGAGCTAACAAGGTGGTTAAGTAGCTTATGAAGTTTAGATCATCATTACATGCACTGTTCCTTAAATCCTTTCCTTTGTGCTTTCTGCTATTTGTAATGGTCTGTATGACCTCCAACATGTTACGTGACAATCAATGCTTCTGTATTCCTCACTTTTTAAATGTATTGATTTTTTTCACAGCGACGGCAATTTTAAATAAGTGCCTAGCTCAAATTATCAAATCGTCTGTTCAAATCTAGTTTTCTTTGTGACTTTTCTCCTTTTTATGTGACATGCTGCAGTCAAAATTCACCTTACTACCACATCTTACACACCATCACTGGCCACTTAATTAGGTACACCTTGTTAGTAACGGGTTGGACCCAATTTTTCGTGGCATAGATTCAAGAAAGTGCTTGAAACATTTCTCAGAGACTTAGGTCCGTGTTGACAGGATAGCATCTCGCAGCTGCTGCAGATCTCCTATTCCACTACATCCCACAGCAGCTCTATTGGGTTCATAGGTGGTGACTGTGGAGGCCATTTGTGTACAGTGTCCTTATTGTCACGTACAAGTAACCAGTCAGGTGATTTGAGCTTTGTGACATGGTGCATTATCCTGCTGGTAGTAGCCATTAGAAGCTGGGTACACTGGTTATAAAGGGTTACACATGGTCAGCAACAATACTTACCTACCAAATGTGACAGTCTTAAACTAACACTGCATGGTCTTTATATTGGTCCACACTGGTCAGTGTTGAAAATACCAATTTACAGAGTGCACTGGGTGTTGTTTTTACAGTGTTATACTACATTAATTCCTGTAGTGTTGAAGTGACACCATGCAGTGTTTAATTACTGTGACCCCACTCCTACCCAGACTGCAGGTCAATATGGGTGGTACACAAGTACAAAATGGGTGGCCCATATGTGCCCCACATGAATTTGCACCCAAGAAGTCATATGAGGACCATAAGAGCCCCCCCAATTTACTCACTGTCATGAGAAAGTCTCTGAACAATATGGACCCTATAGCCTTTTCTCATTTTTATTAAAACTTTGCCTTTGCCAGCTGAACTCTGATAGTTATGAAAGATTAGGGAAGTATGTTCTTGTGAGCTGTACAGAATGATGCTCTTCTTGGCTCTTGTTTTAATTTTGATTTCATGTTGGTTTTGAGTCTGAGAAAGACCCTTGGAACCTTATGAAGGCATGAAGGTAGCCTCCAGAGTGGCATGACAAGGATTTCAGTGGGGGGTATATTTGTTGATGTAAGGCCATTCCTGCTGTGATTCCCTTTGCCGCACACCGCCTGCTCCCCTGTAGACCAGTGGTGCCAGATGTATATTTGCATAGCATGCCATGGTCATGCCTTTGATTTAACTGATTTTTTTTAATCTGCTGCAATAGTATTGAATACAGAAAGTACAAAAATCACAGATGTAGCTAAAGATGTTTGCTGCTGATGGCAGCCACAGGTAATGGCTCACAGTGGGATCTGCTCTTGTGTGCTGGTCACTGGCTGGGTGAGAGATTTTGGCCTCCCTGGGGGGTGGGACCCTGGGGCTGCCTGGGTGGATCACTAAGTTTCACTTAGGGGGGATTGCCATGGCTGAAAAGGAGCCAGCTGGCACACACCAATGAACCAGAGCCTATCCTGGGAACAATGGGTGCAGGCAGGAACCAACCCTGGGTGGTCACCAACACACTGCAGGGCACACACACACAACCAGTTTGGACCCACCAACCAACCTGCACATTTCTGGACTGTGGGAGGAAACCATAGCCCCTGGCAGAAACCCATATGCACGCAGGGAGAGCCTGCAAACTTCACCCAGAAGGAGCGTGGGACTGAACCCAGGACCTTTCGGCTGCAGTGCTAATCACTGCAGCACCATGCCGCCCCCAGTAAGTTCAGCCAACCCAACGCAGTTCAGCCAACCCAACCCAGTTCAGCCAACCCAAAGGACCCTGAAGAATAACTAACAGTAAAATGTGGTCGAGACTAAAACCTGCGGGGTACCATCCTTGATTGTGGTGAGTTTCTAAATACTAAGCCAGGTTTCTAAAAATGAATAGCAAGATGGTTTGATTTGTTGTTCTATCCCAAGTTGCGTTCTAAAAGCGACGAGGCTTTTTAATTCTCGGATTGGGGCTGGGAAATCTGATTGTGAATCAGATAGGAGCTTGCTGGTTTTAAAATGCTTACATACCCAACATTGCCTCGTGAACCTTTCAGAATCCAAATTTTGGTCATGACGGGGGAATGCCCCCCATTATTTAATTTGGCTTCATTCATCCCCCACTAAGCAGACCATTGTATTTATGTTATTAAAGCCATAGGCCACCGCCTAGAGCGCCAGTTTCTGAGGGGGTGCCGACTTGCCAGCCAATATCATTTTGCCTTGGTCGGAGGGCGTCGGTGCTGATGCTCACCTAGGCCGCCATCAGCTAGGACCAGTACCGCCTAAGACTAAAGAACGTGTCCTAGTCCATCCCCCGATTCTACGTTACGCACTTAAAACTCCCATCGCTTGAAATTTGATTTACGAGCCTAGATTGCCCTCTTGTGGACGTCAATGTAAAAAACACTTCTCCTAAAATAAATAGCACTAATGATGTTTCTTTGTGTAATGGGAATGTTAAAATAGGTGAAACAACTCACAACGGAATCTGCAGATTGAAGTGTTTAATTACAGGAAAGTGATAAATGGAGAAATATGCAAAATTATAAGAAAGAATACTTGGAGGAAACTGTGAGGTAGCTTAAACGGAGAAGAATCAATTACTATATAATTAGCCCACCCTACGCATTTTGACAATCTTACCTGTTATTTTAAATTTTTCTAACTCTAGTTTGGGGGTAAAGTGTACTACTGTCCTATAACTAGGTTTGTCTTTGAAAGTCTTTTCTGAGTCTTCCGTGGCTCTTTAAAATGATAATTTCGGGCTTTGGAAAAAAAAAACAATAATTAATTTACAACAGTCTTGAAAGGAACGATTTTCTACGGGGGTCTAAGAACGAGCAAAGTGATACCGTTCGGACATTGGGGGGCGCTGTTGCAACATGCTTCCCTTGCGTTGTCCCGGAGTAGCAAGCAATTCATAAATGTTACGTAACAGCGGGTTAGGGCCAATCGCAGGCAGCACAGGGCTGTAACTGCGTGTATTAGGATGGTGGCAGGAAACCTGCATGGGGGATGGGGGGCATGCAAAGTCCACCTAGCCCCCTGCTTTGTTCCAATTAAAATAAAAAGATAAGCTGATCTGTAAAGGTGTATTTGGGACTGTTCAAAGAAGAGCATATGCAGAAGGTCTATTGAGTGAGCACTGTACACTGTATTTACTATACTGCTGACACAGCGGCCTCACTCCTGCCAGACCTCTGCTTCAAGCTCGCCTTGCGCTCAATGAGTGCGGCCATAGCGTGTTCCGCCGTGCTGTGTGGGCCCCCCCCCCCCCGCAGTCCAAAGACACAGGGCAAACTTGTATGTGTTAGAAAGTGTATATGTATGTGTAGGGGCATGCCTAGAAATTCTGGGCCCCCTGACAAAATGTCACCCAGCTCCCCCAAGTGAAACTGTTTGAAGGTCCTGTGAAGTACTGGACCCTTTCAATCTGCCAGGGTCTCCATGCACCTCTGATGCCCTCGTCTATGTGTTCTGCAATGGACTGGCGTCCCGCCCAGGGTGTACCCCAGCCCCATGCCCTGTGACAGTTTGGCGTCCCCCAAGGGTGTACCCCAGCCCCGTGCCCTGTGACAGATTGGTGTCCCCCAAGGGTGTACCCCAGCCCCGTGCCCTGTGACAGATTGGCGTCCCCCAAGGGTGTACCCCAGCCCCGTGCCCTGTGACAGACTGGCGTCCCGCCCAGGGTGTACCCCAGCCTGATATGCCCTTCCTGCAATCCTGTCCAAGATGGATTGATGTAGCACTCGACCTGTATGATGCTTTCAAATTTAGGAAACATTCACCTGCGCTCCCATTTATTAAGGCATTTTTGCATATGCTAAATGGTAATGATTACAGTTGAAAAAGGGGGGGGGGGGGTGGTTCATATGTAGATGTGTCTGGAAGCCATATGGTGTGAAAATGCACTCAAAGAACTGACTGAAAAATTGGACCAACAGTATAGGTGCCAGAAAGATAAATGAACACAGAAGAATAGTAAACTTAAAGCAGATTTTTTGTAATTAAAAGAGTATGTTTAATGGAATTATTACACAACTCCACATACTGTACATACCACGTTAGCACATCTTTGGACACGTGCTGTGTACGCCATTCACCCGTGCATTTTAAGTGACAGGCATTATGTTCAATCTGTTGTGCTGTCAGATCAGCTGATGACTAAATTATCCCCCCGACCAAAGCCACATTGTATTAGAGAATTTGAGGACGTTTTAAGTCGACAGCTGACACAATGAGGTGAAATTTTACGCAACAAAAGAAGTATGTCTGCAGGATTCTGGTTATTTCGTCGCATGCTGAATTTAAATTGAAGTTGCTTTGCACAAACAAGTCAATTTCTGTGCAGGAATTTCACTGCAGTCAGAAAAGTTGGGAGAAGACTGCAAGGGCATTTGTGTCCGGAGGGTTTTTAACCCCCCCCAGCGGAATGACTTTCATTCCTGATAGCCTGTAATAAAGTGCATGGATATCCTTTGATGAACAGTAATGCTCGGTGCAGGTAATGCATGCCGCATTGAGGCGACGGAGCCGCATGAACTGCATGCTACAGGTTGTTCTTTTAATAGCTCAGTACTTGTTTCAGTTTTTAACTCATTTATTCGAATGCTCAGGTTCTCTCACTGAAATCCTCCTAGTAACAGGGTACTAATATTTGTAAAGTTATCACTTATAACAATTATTGAAATGATAACAAAACTAACAATAACAATAAACAACAACAAAAAAAATCAAAAGAGTAGTTGTGTGGAATATATGTTTGAGGCATTGGACTGCGTGAAAAACATTCACAGTTGCTTCAACAAACAGCTGCTCAAAAACAACTGTCAAGACCCTGTACCCACAATGCACCCTGTCCCTGCCAGCAATGTTCCAACATTTATGAGGCCTTGCACAGCGATTAGGTCACTTCCTGGGCGGAGGGATACGGTGCCACAGCAACATGATGTATGATGGCAGGGTGTTCATTGCCAGGCTTCTTAATTCCTTCACTTGCACAGATCAAAGCATGGAAATGCATTAAATATTAATGGACTGGCAGAGAAATGAGTCACTGATGCTGGCCAGTGCTTTTTACGTCTCAGCATTCTTCTGGAAATTTTCCGGAGTTCTCACCGGCACGCAGAGTGCTGAAGATGCACATCGCGTGGTTGTGGCAGCCCGAGCAGAGTAACTCCACCAGGTTTTCTGCCGCCTTTTCCTCCTGGGACAGGAGGTCCCGCCCCCTTCTGGAGCTCAGCTGCAGTCCTCGCAGCGGCAGGCCAGGATGTAGCGATAGGTGGCAGTAATGCGGGAGCCGCCGGTGCAGCGCAGGCGCACAGCCTTCAGTTTGGACGTATTGGGCCGGCAGCAGGAGCAGCTGTTCTTGAAGGGCTGCTTGAGTACAGAGCTGAAGGAGACCAGGGGGTCCGAGCGTGACGTGTGGCTGCAGTGGCCCTCACAGCGTGCCAGCAGCACCATCTGGGAAGGGGGACATCAGGGAGAAGCTCGTCACCATGGTCAAACCTGACATCAGCTACGAAGAGGCCAGCATTCTATGCCTCACACAGCCAAAAATGTGTTACGTTACTGATTTATTGTTGCTGTGTCCCCAAACTACTCATTCCTTCACTTTCAACCTTCACAATGTCACAGCTGTGCCTAGGTCAGGTTTTATGTCATCATTTTGTCATTTTTGGTGTGTTGAGTAGTGATGGACAAAATGATGCTTCATGAACCACTTGCTGTATTTTCTGACCCCACTAGATGGCGCTCTCTGTTCAAAAAAGGGCACAAAATATGCCCTAAAGAAACCTAAGAGCACCGTCTACTGATGTGGGAAAATAAATTCATTAATTAATGGAATAGCCTATAAGCAAGAGAAGTATTGTTAGCTGTTATTAAAAACAAAGAAATAGCCATTCATCATAACTGCCTAGTGCACAGGCAATGAAATATTGTTGTATGTTACTGAACTTCAGCTACCACTTCGGTTTAATTTGTTTCAAATTCATTTATTCAAGCTACTCGTGTCCTGCAGTTTGAGGTTACACCTCCGTAGAGCGCAGCCTGCAAAGGCTACACCTCCGTAGAGTGCCTCCTTCGAAGGATGCAGGCCCAGAGTTTGGACACAGCCAGGCTGCGTTCAGAGGACAGTGCCTGCAGCCTCCCATTTCACCGTTGGCTGCCATCTATTACTGCTGTTTCAATTTTGGGGGTGATATGTCTCAGGTGTATCAGGTGTAGATTTTCGGGTGTAGATTTTCATCCATATAATGTTTTTTTCTGAAGTGGTAATAAGATCCGTCGAAGATAACTAGAGTAATAATTTCAAAATGGAGTTATACTGTTCACAAGGTCAAACGCCTTATCTAAGTCACCCTTCCCTGTGTTTCCACTAAGCGCCGTTGCTTCAGTTTTGGTGTGATTTATTTCAAAAAGTGAATGAGCAGGTCCAGATCTTCAGTTATACAATGTACCTGAAAATTTTGGAAAAGATTTTTACTTTTTGAGTTAGCATCTTAAAGGGATCAAATCTGAAACCCTTCTAGCTCTTCTCTCTGCTATCACTTTATGACGCTGCTTCACTTTTAGGGCAGAAGGTAATCAAGTCCAGTTCTTCACCCATACAATGCCTCTGCAAAGGTTTCTCAGTCAGGATGCTCACTGCCTGTCCCTCTCCATGTACCCAGTATCTGTCCCGCTCAGGATGCTCACTGCCTGTCCCTCTCCATGTACCCAGTATCTGTCCCGCTCAGGATGCTCAGTATGTGTCACAGTCAGGGTGTTTATTGGCCAGATATGTTTGAAAGGACGATTCATTGGGTGACTCCAGCTCTGTATGTGTGGACCTGTGTCAACATGGCTCCCAACGGTCAGGTGGCAGACGATCCCAGAGTTTAAAGGGATGGACTCATTAGTGGCCAATGCCTGTGATTTCAGGTGGTTTCTGTAGGAATTTGAAGGCAGGACGGTCTTTTGAATCTCAGAGTGGAATTATGCTGACTTGAGAAGTGGTCTCAGTTTCGGCCAATAGCCTGTACATGTGGCCGAAGTCATTGGGGGGGGGGGGGGCAATCTTAATGCTGAGTGGGTGAGACTGACATGACAGGAAGGACCACTTGAAGGAGCAGCAGCCTGATCTATTTTCCTCTCCAGTGAGAGGAACTGACAACCCTCGGGTTACAATAAAATACACATCAGCTGGATATGGTTAAAACACAGGCTAAATAAAGCCCTCAGCTAACCCAAACCCACGTGTAGACAGCTCTTTATGATCAGTGAGGGACCAGTCTGTCTTGTACATACATGTTACCCTAAAATACTGCTGCATGGGCGGCTACACATCAAAATCAAGGCTTGAACCTTGAAGAGTCTCCCATGGGGGAACTGGGCCTCTGAGATAGGAGGGCTCAGTACCCCTGTGAGGGAGCTCATAAAGTTCCGTGATCTCCAGAAAAAAGCGAGGATTGGCGGAGGAACCCTGGTTGTGGAGACCTGAAATGGAAGACCTGCGGAGAACCACAGCTGAGCAGCAGATGTGAGCTGAAATGGTTGTTTACAGGAGTCCATGGACAGGTGGGACACATTTGGAGGCTGGCACTCAGCGGTGCCTGTCAGCCCCCATAAAGCCAGCACTCTGCATCAGTTTGAAGTGCAGCTCCAGATTCTAGGGCTTCGTGACTCAGCTGGGGAGTGTGTTTGGGTCACTCTCCTGACCTGTCGTGACTCCTGGCACCTGACAGCTCCTTCTGAGAGTCAGACAGGCAATTACCAGCAGTTATTAGTGGTCAGATTTTAAAATATGGATAGAGAGAACAGGAATAGCAAGAAGGAAGCAACAGGAACTGAACCAGCAAGCCATTCCTCATAGGTTGTGATCTTAAAGGGGAAGTCAGCCATGTGACCTTAAAGGGGAAGTCAGTCATGACCTGACAGTGGGCTGATCCTGCGCTGCACCAGGTTCTTATTTACTCTGTTCGTTGTTCTTCAGTCCCCTTATTAAAACAGACGGGGAGCAGCCATATGCGTGTGTTTCCGGGGGGGGGGGGGTGGTATTAGAAGTGAGGCAGCCCCTCACTGACTGACAAGGGCCCCCACCCAGCACGTTACATGCTGATGAGTCCCAGCTGGGAGGGCTGGCTGGGTAAATGAGGGTCTCTGGTTTGCAGACACACAAGCAGGCAGACAGACACCAAGCCCCCCCCCCCCACAATGAAGGCTGGAGATTCTGTCAGTCACTGACATGACGTTTCGAGGAATCGCCATGCTGTCGCTTCCTCAGGGCAAGGAGAGCTGGCTTTGGCTGGGGGGGGCATTTTGGAGGTTGTATTTAAAAAACACAAGCCCCTCCTAAGCTAAAACATATCACTAATAGTTACAGTTACCCGGCCAACTAAATAAAGAGGGACATAGAAGGAAAAGGCCCCCATATGGGCACAATCACTTTGCTGATATTTTTGGCCAAAGCCGGGGGCGGTGCAGGCAGGGTGCACTCTGGGTAATTAGCCAAGGTGTCATTCCGGAGAGGAGGACGGTCACTAACAAGGAGGGTCGACTCCCGAGCCTGAGTGGGTTTTATAACATCACCTAGATGGTATCCTCGGGGGAGGATGGGGTGTCACTGTGTGTGTGTGTGTGTGTGTGTGTGAGTGTGACATGATGAGCAGCGTGGCTGTGGTTAGCGGGTTAGCGGTTAGCCCCAGGGGTATGGTGGCGTCAGAAGGACATTATTAGGCTGAAGGTCAGTCGTACAGAGAATATAATCGTAAAACACAAAGAGGATATTTATTACAATATTATAACCAATCACAAGAATCAATTAAATTAGAACAGACATGATATCAGAATCGTTCTTTTGTAATCTAACCTGTGATGAAAACATGCTGTTTGTTTTCTTATAAATAGCTGCTGTAGCTGTGAGGAACCAGCTGAAGACGTCATGTTGTCAACAATGTTATAGGTAAGAAGAGTAAATATAGAAATGTTAGTAAGCACAGAAAAAGCAGGAGAAGCTTCTGAGATGTGGACTCCCAGTATTACGTGCCAGGTCCTACCTTGGAGTTGCACTTGTAGATAGGATGGGTGATGGTCTCCACAAAGTGGTGTCTCATGCACCTGTCCGGGGTGCCCTCCCCAAGCCGCCCGCCCTCGCCCTTACCAGCCGCAGCCTCTATCATGGCCAGCAGGGGGCAGGTGAGCAGGAAAAGCAGCACCCTCAGTCTGGCCAGGTGGCTGGAGTTTCTCATTTTGACCCCGAACTCCCCGCGAGGTCCAAACTGTGGGAAAGCTGTTTGCTCAGCAGGCGGGCGGCTGGTAGTCGGCCCCCCAGCAGACGGCAGTGCGGCTCCTCCGCTCAGCTTGTCCCGGTGAGCAGGCAGACGCCGTGGCCCCCGCTGGTTTGGGTCTCCATGGCTCCCACAAGATCCGCGGTCTGTCAGGGGAAGGGAAGCTGGATCAGACAGGGAGTCACACAAACGCTGTGGGGTTTGGGATCGTGGCCTCGCTGCTCAGCAATCACTGGGCGAGCGGCGGACCTCCTGAAGAACCTCTGCAGCAGATGGGCCCGGTGCTGCCTTGGAGACCCGGAGCTGGTGACAGAGTTAGCTGCTACCTGCCAGGCGTCTGGCCTGACGGCTCCGACCAGGAAGCCTGTGACGGATGGGCTGGGCTGCCAGCCGGCCCCTGTGTTATTCTAACAATCCCAGAGCAAAAATGCTATGTTTTCATTACACGCAGGAGAAACCCAATACATTAATAAACAGCCCGGGGCAAACGGCTCCCCAGGAATGAATTTTTCATTAAAGGAATGGTCACATGACAAGTCCCTTCATGACAGCAAGTGAAATGCTAACCAGAGGATATGTATATACACTATAAATATATAAATTCATCTTTTGGTATTTAATGGTATTCATGGTTAGCGTGCCACCATAATAAGCTTTTCCACTGGCCAGTGTACCTCAGACCCGGCTCTCCGGAAGTAATCTGACCCGGGACCTGCGTCTGGCACAGTTTCACGCAGAGGAAATTTTCATTTGCAAAAATGCATATGGTTTTTTGACCACCCTTCTCTCAGCCGCGATCTCTTTGGAGGTCAGAAGTGTATGCCGGTCATTTGAAACTTTCCCTTGGCGTCTTCCCTTGCAAGCGAACCGCTGGAAGCATTCGCTTGTTCAAATTAATATTCCCTGTGTTTTAACTAGTAAGAAAATGTCTTTCAGGTTCACATGTCATTCCAGCAGACATTATGGGCCATTTTTCACAGAGGGTGTCAGAGATGCTGGTCCTCTTGTCTTGCTTTGAAATCTGTTACCGGCTAGCAGGAGGAACGTGACTGATGTGTTCCAGCCAAAGCTGAAGTTGCACATTCAAAGCTACCAGAGACTGATGGGACTCAGCAGCAATCAGGATACCTGAGATTCACATAGGAGCTGTAACTACAGATCATCCACGTTTAGTAAAAACCTGTGCGGCACCTGTTCCTGCTGACAGCCCGTCTGGTGGGGCACAAGTGAAAGGGTGTGTGATGGTAAGCCCCAGGTTTCTGGCTCGCCGGCGGTTCTGCTGCGTCTCCTGTAGGCGAGTCATCGAGCCTGAACCGTTCCAGTAAAACATCCAGCTGTACAAGGGGAAAATTGCTTGGGGTAAGAATGTAAGCTAAGACTAATTTTCTATTTATAGAGCCGGGCGCTTCAGAGGAGTCATTCAGGTTAGGCAGTGCGATGAGGTGCATCAGCAGGGACCCTCCTGGGACTCGAACCATCGCGTTCGGCCTGCAGGCCTGCACCCCCAACCCCCCCATTTTCCCTGTGCTGCATTCCTCGCCAGGTACCGCAAAGCCACAGCGAGTCCCGGCCTGATATCGCCCCAGAGGTATGGGCGAGGGGGCGGAGTCAGTCTCATCACATGTCACGGGTCTGACAGCCAGCACCCCACCCACCATCAAGGGGGGGGGGGCTTGTCAAGACCACCTTCACACCTGTTTCTCCCACAGACTTTTATTGGACCCCTAGAGAGCTGGCGGAATGCATCTGGGACAGTAACACGTGGCATTTGTGTAAAAGCAAGCCCCCCACTCAAGAGCTTCCAGGTTAGGCTTTCAGCTCAGCCTCTGCGCATGGCAAAATGGGGGGGCTCTGTTTGTAGAGCCGGGATCAGAAGGCCCCCTCACCTTGCAGGAATCCGAGCGTAATCCAAGCCAGGCAAAAGTAAACAGTCTGGTTTTATTTAATTAGGCTTTACTAGCGGGTTATAATTTCAGCCAGAATGTGTGTGTGTGTGCGGGGGGTTAATCAATTGTGTCCAACTCAGGGATGTTGACTTATTAAACTGTGGCAGGATTTCAGAGAAGGTGTAACAGCCAGCCCAAGAGCGAATGACCCAGCCGCAAATGCCGGCGTCTTCCTACCAAACCAAGCTGTAAAAACACCAATGGAAATGGACACTAATAACTAGACCTTTCATGAAAAACCGACAATGATGTTCATTTTGTTCTTGTATAGAAATAGAGGTTCGTCTCCCACAGAAAAACTTTTGAAGTATCTTGCTGGAAGAGGGGAATTTTATCATTCCGATGACCGATTTGTGCTTCAGTGTATTGGCCAGTCTATAGCCATCGCTATAGAAACAGGCAGTCCCCCATCACACTGGGCTGGCTGTCCTGGTAGGACAATAAAACTGGAAGGCTGATGTAGGAGGAGGAGGCACAGGCCATCTGGAATCAGCATGAGCTCGGACCCATGTCAGAGGCTGATTGGAGGGGCCAAAAGACTGCATGTGTTTATTTTCTCTGCAGGCTGGAGTGTCTGGTCATAGGATGACCCCCCCCCCCCCTTGCAAGTCATAAGGTGAATGATGGTGAACCATGTCAAACCAGGAACAAGACCGGCCCGGTGTCATTAAGGTGACATTCCATGCTCTGAAGGGGAGCAGGCGTGACCTGTCTCGTGGTTCTGGAGCAGGCGTGACCCGTCTCGAGGTTCTGGAGCACAGCCGGCTTCCGCGATTCGTCTGCCCACTGAGACATGAAAAGCCACAATGTCTGAGCTGGAAATCCCAAAGCAAACAGCGGTCGGCGTACGCGGTTTGATAAGATGACAGGTTGATTTGCGGAGCAAACCCACCCTCTGAGAGGCCGTCTTTTGCGTCAGTAACCCCCCCCAGTCCCCGGCACCCCCGACGGGGATTTATCGTCGCGCCTGCCTGCTTTCGTGCTCACCTCTTTCGGCAGCTTTTAATAAACCAGAGGGCAGATTCCTACAGGGATGGGTTATGATCCCCACCTCCCCCCACATGCCAGTCCTGAGTGTGTGTGCCGGGGGGGGGGAGGGCGGGGGGTGTCCGACGCCACCCTCTTCATGGCACGACTAAGCCTGTCTCTAAATATACACCATCCGGTAAAAGCTATGAGGGCACACCATATGCACCCACTGGCGTTAAGCAAATGTTAGCTTTACCTCTGGGGCGGCCGACATTCAATCTGCTGACCCCAGGTGGCAGCACTGCCGTCTGAAGGTGAGTGATGCATCTGCCCAGTCTGACTGCCGATACCCGGAGGTGCTTAGTGATGCGTTGCTGAAATGCAAAATCCTGAATGGCTCTTCTGCTGTTTCTCCAAAATCAGACTTCTTGTCCTTTTCATTTCTTTTGTGGTCATCACTAAAATGTGGATTGTTGACCAGTGGGAAAACATGCCACTCGGCTTTTACAGTTCTCTTTCACAGGTCTCTGTCTCGTTCATGAGTCTTTGCCACAGGTCTCTTTCACTGATCTTTGTTTCTTTAACAGGTCTCTTGTGGGCTCTCTTTCATAGGTCTCCCCTCTTTCACGGGTCTCTCTCACTGGTGTCTTTCACAGGTCTCTTCTCTTTCATGGGTTTCTCTTTCACAGACCTCCTTCATGGGTCTCAGTTTCAGGTCTCTTTCACAGGTCTTTCACCTTTATGGGTCTTTGCCACAGGTCTCTTTCACTGATCTTTGTTTCTTTAACAGGTCTCTTGTGGGCATCTTTCATGGGTCTCTTCCTGTTTCATGGGTCTCTCTCGCTGGCATCTTTCACAGGTCTCTTTCACAGGTCTCCTTCTCCTTCACAGGTCTCTTTCATGGGTCTCTGCTGCAGGGTCTTTCACAGGTCCATTTTACAGGGTTCTTTCTCTTTCATAGGTCTTTTTCTGTTTCCTGGGTGGCCACTATCACTACTTTAAAGAGGGGCTCCTCTCTGTGTGATGCTTCACCTGAATCCGGCAGTTTGATCACACAGCCCCCTCACCCCCCACTGCTACAAGGTGCTGGCAGCCCGGCTGTCAGCCTGATGAACAGCTCCCCACCACAACACGCGCCGCACGCGTCACCCATACGCTCTTTTTACCTACCCCCCCTTCCCTCTGGGCTCTGGTGCTGCACCTCTCTGTGAGGGACGGCTAGTCACACCCAGAAAGACCTGAAAACCGCAGTGTGTCTGTGTGTGGCTCTGAAACTGAATATAAATGGAATGTCGAGTGTTGGGCAATCAAAACCTGATAGGGGATCATTCTGTCCCCCCTTGTCCGTTTCTCTAACCCACGAACTCTGTTGCCGTCAGGAGCTTGTGAACGTAAACATGTTTTGTATTTATGCTTTACTAAGTGGAGTAATACACATGCATGTTTCTTGAATGCAACCCTCTGCCTTCCAGCGTCCCTTTCAGAAACGCAAAATGAGCTCATCAACACCTGAGGCAGTAGCGACGGCTCCCCGGCCAAAGCACCCCGCTCCCCAACCCAGTCGCCCGCCAAGCCACCCCAGGGGCATCTCCCGTCAGCCCAGAGGGAGCATGCTGAGCAGAAAGCCATCACTCACCCCGTGCTGGGAGGTGGTGCCGAAGGCGCGGGTCACCTTTAAATCCAGCGCTCCCACGTAGAACAGAAGGCAGTAAATCCGGCCCCAGCAGTCACGCTGACGAACTGAGATGGAGTTTCCTCAACAACAATTGCTTTTATGCCCTGCTCCCTATCTCCCTCCCGCCCTCTCTCCCTCCCTCCCTCCCTCTCTCTCCCCCTCCCTCCCTCTCTCTCCCC